TCACTGTTAAATCCAGCTAGGGAGCTTTGGCTACTGGGCAGTATAGAAATAAATGCAAAATTGAAATAATATGGCTCAACCATAACTCTGCCTGCATAGGCTGTTCACCAAGACTGAGTGACTGCATAAGCAGGGCCTTGGAGAGAGAAGAAGCCAGAAAGTCAGTAGTAATAGCCCCAATAGACAGGGGCTGGAGAGATCCACAGCTGAGACAGGAGAAATCGTTCATAGAACAAGGATCACCTAGATGCTACACAAAGCAGGCAGAGCAGATTGAAACAACTTTTTGTCCTCACTCCAGAATTCTACACATTGTAGAAAACCAACAGTGCTCATTCTGCTGAGTACAGCATCCCCACAGTGTAGCGTGGTGGTGGCTGCGGCATGTTGAAGGGATGCCTTTCTTCAGCAGGGACTGGGAAACTGGTCAGGATTAAGGGCAATTTGGATAGAACCAAATACATGGCTTTTCTAGAGAAAAACCTGTTTCAGTTTGGGACCTGCAGCTGTTGGTTTAAATCGAGAACTGGCGTGGTTTAAATCAAGAACTTGAATGACTTAGAATGGCCCAGCTGAAGTCCAGACCACAATCTGATTGAGAATCTGTGGCAAGAGTTGAAAATTCCTGTTCACCAATGGTTCCCATCCAACCTGACAAGGCTGGAGAAATTTTGCCAAGTAGAATGGGCAAACATTGCAGGATCCAGATGCACAAAGCTGTTAAAAATCTATCCAGGAAGACCTCAAGCATTAATTTCAGCCAAGAGTGCTTTTGCCATATACTGACTCACATGGATGATGGGGTTGGGTGGGGGGGGGGGGGTAGAAACTTAGACAAGGGTAAGTTTGCTTTGCTCACTTCAGTTTCGTGCCACAATAAAAATAGTTTGCAGTTCCACAGTGTTAGGTATACAGTGTGCATCAAATAGTAACAATGCTAATTAAATCCATTACAGTTCCTGGTTGTAACACAGCGAAATATGGAAAAGTCAAAGGCATCTGAATACTTCTGTAAGGCACTGTGCAACCCCAAATATACAGTGGATTAGTTCCACAAAGGAAGCAACAGCCTTGAGTTTGCAAGGCTGGGCAGGACTGTCATGGACAGAACATCTTGGAGGGCATTCATTCATAGAATTGTCTTAAATCGGAGCAACTTGATAGCAAGTAACAGCAAGAAAACTTGAAAGAACTCTGTAGTAAGCATTACTTTATCATTTTATTAATGTAGAAATATTTTGTTGCTCCTGCAATCATTCAGAAAAATAATTTTTAAATAATACATTTTAATAACTTTGAAATTACTTTTATACATTTTTACAATGGTCTTGAGGCATAACTTCTAAATGATTCTAAGTAGAATCACTGCATCCTCTACTTGCAGGAAAACCATCCCTGCACTCTCAATTGTATGATACATTCCAGACACCTGAATGTACCACACTGGTCTTCACAACTTCCTTCTTGTATTATGCTCTTTGAAGGACCTATTCAATAATGAACATTCAGTTTTCACTGATTTTGAAAGCATGCTAAGCAATGACAAAGGCAGAAGAAGAAGAGGAAGGCCAACTATGAGTTGGATTGATTCCATAAAGGAAGTCGCAGCCTTGAGTCTACAAGAGTTGAACTGGGCTCTGAAGGATAGGATATTTTGGGGGGACATTTGTTCTTAGGATCACCATAAGCTGGAGATGACTTGATAGCATGTAACAACAACTACCAGTGGAACCTCTTATCCCCAGATTTTGAAGTGTTGGGAGGAAGAATATGATGGAAGGCGGAGCTTCCTCAAAGTTTGGCCAAGACCATAAGTAGCTTTAAACATGAGTGGCAGTATTGGATTTAGTTCAGCAGTAAAAAAGTAACCTGTGGGACAGCTATCATATGTTCTCTGCTGTGAATATCTGATATGGATTGACTGAATCTGGGCAAGTAATTTCCTTCAAACGCACATTAAATTTCTCTGGTGAAGGCTTTACCAAGGGATGTGCCTCAATATTCAAGTTCCTCTTTTTAAGGAAAAAGTTGGGGCAAATCAAATATACTCTTGGCCACAACCCAACTGGGATATCAAGGAGAAGGCCAGAATCCAAGAGTACTCCCAAGCTAAGAACCTGATTTTGTTTCTAAGTGAGGAGAGGTGGGTAGCTTTTTCCACCACTCTACTGAGACTAGGCAGTCTAGTGTGATTAACTCCTTGGTGTCTTAGTGGAGTTCAGCTTCACTAAGTTCATTTCTAATCCAGCTGAGTGGCCAGCAGAGAATCTGAATCACCTGGTTTATATGTGGAAACTATTAAAAGAACCTCAGTGCTTCTCATTAATATTAAATCACAGCATGGACTACAAGGACCCTGCAACTGAGCTCATCCTGTAGAACCACTGGAGTTGAGTACCCCAACCATATTAATCACTCCAAAAAGATAATTCCCCAGAATGTTGGTTTCAAGAGAAGGGCTTTTTATTTCCAGGAGAGGCCCTACCACTCCTCTTTTAGAACATCCCTCAGTGCAATACTGATTAGCATAAAAAGCCAAGACTGTAGTTTATCATTCTGACTACAAAAGATATATGAAAATAATAATCACCCTTACCTGTGGGCACCAGCAGTTGTCAAGAGTAATCAGTTGTCTAACACTGTAGTAAGTTTTTTCAGAGACTATACCGCACACTGATGGTCAGCTATAGTTTCAACTCTATCCTATCTCTGTATTGGTCTGCCAGGATTTTAAGCCCATCTGGGCTTTTGAGCAATGTGCAGTACAAAAAGAGAGGAAACATAATGCCATATAAAGAACCCTCATGAATGAGGTCTGAAGTCATCTAGTTCAACATCCTATTCTCACATAACAATACCTTGAAGATTCCTCTGTGGGTAATACTTCTGGCTCAGCATCTAGAACATTTGTACACAAACTGAGAAATCAAAGCATTAATTCATTTAGCTGTGTAAAGATTCCTCACCATGGTAAAAGAGGGGGATGACTCATGTGGTTTATCAACTTTATAGGACTGTGTCAACTAGGCCCTTCATATGAGGGCCCAAACACACATGCCCTGCACACCTTTTGAGGGGAGAATTCATACATATTGGGCCTTCATCCAACTGGAAGCTCATTTAGGCAAGTTAGTTCTTAATGAAGGCTATCAACATGGTGGATGGAAAGATCGTCCAGTACCATTCCTCTATGCAGTTACATCACACTTCCAGCTCATTATATAAACTGGGTCTCCATAGCTCTCAACCAAAGATTAGAGAAGTACAGATGATCTAGTAGGTGACAGGTCTCAACTAATCTCTAGCCTTAAAATCATAGTGCTTAAGAAGCTTCACTCATTCTTGGAAACAAGTCCAGAGGTAGAGGTGTCTGAATGTGAAATGTATTGTTATGTCCTGAACACAATGCATTCTTATATCTCATTATTCAAGGGAAATGCTGTTGGAGATGTGTTTTTTCAACTTCTAAATATTTTTATACTTCTGGATAATGAGCTCAGGGTGGGTTTTGTCTTATTAACATGTAATGAAGTCCCAAATATACCAGCTTTCACTCCAGTGTTACAGTCTTCAAAGAAGATAACACATGGTTTTGTACTTTACATCTTCCCTGTTCTGCTTAAAAATGGTGAAGCTCATATTTATGCTTGAGATGTAAAATAAGGTCCTGAATATATTTACTAGATTTCTTCCTATACCTAAGTGCTCAGCTGAGTTACTATGTAAGTACAAACCTACAAAAGGAATGCTGAACAGGCCTGTAGCTAAACCAAAGATCTAAATTTCTCAGCTAATAAATTTAAGTACAGTTAAGCTTCCTAAGATTTTGGGTATTGTGGGTTATATACATTGACAAATACATAAAAACTGAGTTCTGCACAAGGTTTATCTATCTAAATGGCTTTCCTTCCTCCACTGTCCACATCTTTATTTATACATTTGTATTGTTAGGTGGTTACCTGTCAACTCGTAAAAGTCAACAGCTTCCCTATGTCCTCAAACAGCCATTCCACTGCCATCCTCAGGCATTGTTTCCCATTCCCCACCTCAAAACCTTTAATTCTTTGCAACTATAGTGAGCTACCAATCAGAATAGTCCGACTCTTTCTTCCAAAGCAATCTCCATTTATTCAGGATTGTAGTTTTAGGCATCTTGCTACTACACCCAAATTTTAACATAACATACCTTGAATCCTTGTTAGGGAGTTAGGTGATTTAAATATTAAAATATGCAGATATTGAAAAATATGATTATTGTTCAAAATACTATTATATGCAAAATCAGACTTTATGTTGAGAAAGATATTGTTGTAATTGTAATCTAATATCCAGTTCCCTCAACTGGCTAGAGCTTGCAAGGATGACAGCCATTTTCACCTTTTGATTGATAAGGATGAACATTGTCAGAACAATTAATTATTTTTCCACATAACTTACCAGGCTTATAATGACCCATAGCTCCATAAGGGCCCAACAAGCCTTCCCCTAAGTGGAAAACCAATGAAATGTGCACAGTTACTAGTAACGAGAACTGGAGTAGAGGAAGAGGTGTTCACACTGCATTTTGTCTGCCAATATTTGATAGCTTTTGTTGGGAATGGGAACAAGGAATGATCAAGGGTTGTCAATTTGGCAGCCTGAGCTTTCCTCACATTGTCCTTCTGTTGTTTGAGCAGTATTTTAGTTTTGAGCAGTTTTTACAACCTACAGAATGTAGAGGTACTTCCCTCCCAGCAAATATTTCACCACTACCATTATGGCCAAAAAAATGAATGAATGAATGAATGAATGAATGAATGAATGAATGAATGAATGAATGAAGCATCACTGCTAAGTTCCTGCAGCCCAAACCCTCCCACCACATAGAATTATCTGAAGGTGCTTAATGCTGTTATATTATTAAAGCCAAGGAGATATCTCAGCCTGGTCATACCTAGACACAAGACTGTTTTTTATGAGTGGGGCATAAGTTACTTCAATCTTAATTTTCTTTGGCACAGGTCCACCAGGAAGGCGAGGAAAGCCTGGACGGCGAGGAGAGACAGGTAAGCCTCTGTGTATTGTTATTTATTATGTTGTGAGCTGCCTAAAGAGCCTATGGCTAATGGGGCAGCATACAAGTTAAATACATACATATATACATACATACATATTGTGAAATAATGCCAGTAGGTAATTACAGAGAGAAACTTGCCTAAGTATTGTCTATCAAAGGTTCTTTCTCAGAGTTATATTCTAGTTCTCATACATCTTAGTTCAACTTTTAATATGAAAATACTGTTATTCTTAGTTCAGAAGGTGGCCTTTGGAGTCTGCCTAATTGTTACTTGCATTTGGTCTACAATTCCATTCCTTTTTCAATGGAGTAAGTCTGCAAATAGTCATAATATTTTAAATGTAGACAAAAATGCAGGGATAGCATGGGGAAAAACAACAGAACAGCAGTCTCCAGGATGATATCAATACTCAGTGTGCATCAGTTGGATGGGAAAATCGCATTCATAATCTTGGGTGAAAACTGTTATAGAGTTTTCTATACAGAGTCCCAGGGTCACACAGGGTCCCAGCTCTATTATTTTATATTTGATACTGGATACCTTCTTGTACTTTCATATGTGAAGGGAGAAAATTGTGTGTTCTCTGTGAAGTTCTTCACAGAGAACTTCACCTATGGGCGGTATAGTAAGGAAATGAATGAATAAATATTTCACTATTATACTTGCAGAGTCACTTTTTGCCATTTCTTGTATTGTTTTTATCATCTGTTTTTAGCTGTTTGAAATTTTTCATTCCTTACGACTTTTCTGATACTTTTATCATTGTATGGATTGTATGAACTGTCTAGAAAGCTTTGGCTATGGAGCAGTAAAGAAACTAACTAAAGAATAATATATTAAAGAACACTACAATAAATGATGCTTCAGTATTTTTCCAAAGTATACTTTTTATTGAGCCTGCTTTTCTTAACAGATTTGATTAATGTGAATGGTGTTACAGCTATTCTGTGCTAAAATTAGAACCCAACTCTTAGATGGGGTAACTGGTTGGATAAAGTGAATAATAAGGTTGCAAGGGTTCAGTCATTTTTTTCAGATTTTTTTTTATTTAAAACATTTATATGCTGTCCTTTACGACAACATCTCAGAATGGCTAACAACATTAAAATTGAGAACAACGATAAAAACAATCCATAGGCGATAACAATAAATAGGAATAATAAATAGTTAATAAAAATACAAACATGAAATTAAATAAAAGAAATAAAAGAAAATGACTGTTACCTACTAAAATCAGTGGTTCTTAAAACAGCATTCAAATAAAAAGGTTTTCACCTGGTGCCGAAAAGAATATAAACTCGGCGCCAGGCAAACCTCTCTGGGGAGCACATTCTACAGTCTGGGCATCTCCGCAGAGAAGGCCCAACTCCAAGTAGATATCCTAGTTACCTCCTTCAGGAAGGGTTCCCAGAGCAGGGCCTCTCCTGCAGATCTTGAGGGGCATGAGGGCACATAAGGAAGGAGATGTTCCTTCAGGTATTCTGGTCCCAAGCCATTTAGGGCTTTATAGGTTAATACCAGCACCTTGAATTGGGGCCAGACTTCAACTGGAAGCCAGTGGAACTGGTAGAGGACTGGCATTATACGAGAATAATGACCGGTCCCCATCAGCAACCTGGCAGCTCTATTTTGTACCAATTGAAGTATCCTGACCGTTTAAGGGCAACCCCACATAGAGCGTGTTAGAATAATTCAACTGGCAAGTTACCAGAACATGTATCACTGTTGCTAGGCAGTGCTTGTCCAGGTAAGGATGCAGCTTATGGACCAGCTGAAGCTGCAGGAAGGCACTCCTTGCCACCGCTGCCACCTGGGTCTCCAGTGACAGTTCTGGATCAAGGAGCACTTTTAAGCTGTGGAACCTGTCTTTTAGAGGGAGTGCTACCCCATCCAGGACTGGGTCAAAGTCACTTACCTGAAAGTCTGAACTGCCCACCAGCAGGACCTCTGTCTTATCTGGATTAAGGCTCAGTTTATTGGCCCTCATCGAGCCCATTACCTCAGCCAGTTACTGGTTCCATACAACCACTGCCTCACCTGGAGTAGATGTAAACAAGAGATAGAGCTGGGTACCATCAGTGTAGTGATGGTTCCACAGCCCAAACCTCCTGATGACTTCTCCAGCTGTTTCATGTAGATATTAAAAAGTATGGGGAACAAAATAGCTATGGCTCTGCTAGGTGGCAGAAGATGCTTAGGAGCAATCATGTCGATTGCCCTGGTCATCTCCCTGTTCCATGAATCAACCAGGAAATTGCCAGTTTTATCAACCGGAAAATCCCCCAGAGCCCTCAGAAATCCATCCATCTGTAAGACTATGGGGGCAGACCATCTTAATGGGATCCACACCCTTCCGGAGGGAGAGATCAGCTCTGAGCTCAAACCTCACGAGGACGTGATCTGACCATGACAAAGGAGTTAAGGTGAGATTCCTCACTTCCAGATCACCCTCTTCCTGTCCTGTTGAGAAAACCAGGTTTTGCATGTGACCTCTTTCATGGGCTGGGCCAGTGACATGATGAGACAGTCAATTAATGTTTGAAAACAGTGGTTAATGTTTGAAAACAGAATTAAATCCATTTAGATGGATTTTTAGAAAGAATTACCAGCAAGACTTTTCCTTCTGTTCTTTGGTGTGGCAACAGTGTTGCAGAAATAGAAGGGTGAAGACCATGTGCATAAAAAATGGGAATGGCAATTTCTACATTTAAACTTTGTTTTCTGGCAAGGGAAAGACAAAAGATAGCCTTCTGTTTCAAGAAGATACTATAAGGAACAAAGAAATTTGATATCCTTAGCAGCTAAATTTTCTTAAAATAACAAAGTGTAATCCAGCAGCTGTGATATAAATAATCAAGTATTATTATTATTATTATTATTATTATTATTATTATTATTATTATTATTATTACATTTCTATGCCGCCCCTTGCCGAAGCCTCGGGGCGGCTTACAACACAATAAAATACTTTGAAATACAATAGAACATAATAAATTACCATTAAATACAAAAATACAAAAAATACATTGAGTTACAAACATAATAATATAAAATTAAAATTATCAGTATAAAATAAGTAAATAAATAATATAGGAGGAGAGAAGAGAAGGAAGAAGTTGCCCTGGCCAGATCATATATTTTAACAATTAAAATGATGTTTAAATAAAAAGGTCTTTACCTGGCGCCGAAAAACCAGTAATGATGGTGCCAGGCGGACCTCTTTGGGGAGTGAATTCCATAGGTTGGGCGCCACCGCAGAGAAAGCCCTCCTCCGAGTACTTACTCTCCTAATTTCTTTCATGGAGGGTTCCCGGAGAAGAGACTCTCCCGCAGATCTCAAAGGGCGGTCGGGCATATACGGACGTAAGCGCTCGTTCAGGTAGCCAGGATCCAAGCCGTTTAGGGCTTTATAGGTCATGATCAACACCTTGAATTGGGCCCGGGCTTCAATGGGCAGCCAGTGAAGCTGACGGAGGACTGGAGTCATGTGAGCATAATGCCCCGTCCCTGTCAGCAACCTGGCAGCTCTATTTTGCACCAACTGAAGTGTTCGGACCATCTTCAGGGGAAGCCCCACGTAAAGCGCGTTACAGAAGTCTAGGTGGGAAGTCACCAGCGCATGTGTCACCGTCGCCAGGCAGTCGAACTCCAGGTAGGGGCACAGCTGATTAATCAGCCGAAGCTGAAGGAAGGTGCTCCTCGCCACTGCTGTCACCTGAGCTTCCAAAGAAAGCTCCGGGTCGAGGAGTACTCCTAAGCTGCGGATCTTATCCCTAAGAAGGAGTGTTGCACCATTCAGGACCAGGTCAAATAGCAACAACTACCAGCAATAAAAATCACCCTTCCCTCAGAAGCAGAAATAAACGAAAGTAACATTGGTGCTGCAGATTCCAGCATACGCTTACTCATTGTAACTATTGTTTGTGGTAACTCAGCCTCTGACATGTTGTAGCTTCATAGAACACAAATTGTTGTGGTCCTTGACATTCTCCATCCCCATTTGCCAACTAGTATTTCTCCCTGGGCACTGCTAGCACTTACAGTCTTAGAATCATAGAACAACAGAGTTGGAAGGGGATCAAAAGGCCATTGGATCCAACCCCCTGCTATTGCAAAACACTAAGTTACACCATCTCATTTAGATGATTGTCCAAATGCTTTTTGAATACTCCAGCGAAGGAGAGCCCACAACTTCCCCAGGAAATTGGTTCCATGGTTATACTGCTCTTGACAGTGAGGAAACTCTTCCTGTGTTTTTTAACTGTGTCCTGCACTCTGGAATGAACAAGAAGTGGTATGAAGACCAGGAGCTTCTCTAGGTTCATCCAATACTAAGTAACAGATTGTTAGACAAGCCTCAGGAAAAGAGCTTTACTAAGATTGCTGATTAAGTATCTCACCAATTCAGGCAAAGGAAACACAGAGATCTGATCATTTCGAATGCATCTGTGAACGTGCACACTCTCTGAATAGGAATTATCTCCTTGACAGGCTGCTTTGAACAATTCCTCTTCTTGGTATGAAGCCTCCAAAATTTGGGAGCCAAATTCAGGGGCTTCTTGCCTTGATAAATACTATAAAGGTTGTGAACTGTATTTGATTTTTTAAAAATCAGTATGAAATCGTTCATGGATACAGAAAGCTGGTAAGAACGCTTTCTGACAAAGGAAGTCAGGGTCATTGAAACAGCAGGGCTAGGCCTACCAGAATCTTTCATGATTCCCAGCCAAGAGAGAACCAACCATCATGTTATGTAAACAAGCAGGCTGAGTTGGATCAGAACTGCAGCACACAGGAAAGTCAGGTTTACACCTTTCCCCAGTTGTATTGTTCCCCTGAAAATCTATCCCAACAGCAGTTCCAGGAAGTGAAAAAAACAAAGCCCTCCTGTTACAAGGTGTGCCCTTCTGCCAGGAGTGTCATGTCCCTTTCCCTGTTTTTATCCCAGATGAACAACATGAACACATAAATGCAGCATTGTCAACTTC